CTGTTACAAGGCTTTACCTTCTACATTTTACATGCACAAGACGTGAATGTTAGGATGATAATGAACACGAAACTCCCAAAAATAATCTGGGTCAAATTTATGCACACTACACCAGTATACATTTGGAAGTATAAGATTGCAAGGCAATAGCGACACTGTGGGATTCGATATATAGAGATTGACATAAAAGTCGCTACGTAATCAGACTCCAAAGCACAACTGACGTCTCCAGCGGTCTATAGGGTCTATAGCTAGTATATAGTAAGCCCTTGCCGAAGGCATGCTCGTTCGGTGAAGCTGAGTTGGACGAACGTGATGGGGTTGACAAATGGGCCGAAAATTTGCACTGTTACATGCGCAGAATAAAGCCAAGTTACTCATACAAATACATAAGCAAATGTTTAGGCTGTGTCCACCTTCATCAACGGGAATAGCATTTTTCATGTGCTACTGCAGCGTATTGTGGAGCCGAAGTAGCTCAGTTTATACAGCGACGGACTACGGGGTGGACGGTTGGGGTTCGATTCCAGGAAGGGGAAGACATTTTTCCATTTTCCACAGCGATTATATCGCTCTAGTGCCGACCCAAAGGGTACCAAGGGACCTTTTCTTCGGGGGTAAAGCAACCGAGGCGAAAAGCTGACCGCTCGCATCCACCTAGTGCCGAGATTAGGGATAGTGGAGCTATATCTCCACTCCTTCATTTTTCTTCATAGAATGGTGCTGAATTAATTAAGCACAGGGGCAAAACTTTATATATTACCTTTCACTGCGTGTTTAGCAGACCTCATATAATCAAATTTCTGGTTCATAAAATAACTGTCTGCTGTTCACAGTGGCCGCGCGGTATGAGGCATGAACCGTCTTCGCTCGCTCGAGCACTAGGATCGTGGGTTCTAATCCCATTCGAGGCATTGATGTCTCTGTGTGTTTATTCTGTGCTTGTGTTGTCCTGTGTGTAGGTAGAGGTCTTACGACGGACTCATCCCCCGTCCAAGGAGTCCTACCGACTGTGTATACATTAAGAAACTGAAACAAGGGCCAAGGTCCACTAGACCTGTTGAAGCATAAATAAAGTAATTGTCCACTTTTATTTTCGGCCGCATAGCCGAATGCGCCTCATTGAAGGAAGGTTTGCTGTACTTAAACGCTCTGCATGTTCTCGCCCCTGAACCACCCTGTGATGAAATGGTTATTAGTGAAACGGGAGCGCGCCACGCTGTCCGAGCTTTAGCGTTTGTATAGGCCTTCCTCCAGTTGAGGGCTGTTTTAATATAGAGACGTACAGTGCCATTACATAGAGTAACAGTACGCCAGAGACTTCCAGTCGCCTTCCCAATCAAAACAAACACAATTTTGCGCCGTTCTTACAGTGAAGTCAAAATGACAGCATATGTGGCTCTTCTATAAATATTTTCATATCGTATGAGTTCGGACCGTACTCTTCTCCAAGTATAATTAAAATTATCAAGTCAAGGAGGATGAGATGGACAGGGCATGTAACACGAATGTGGGAGAAGAGGAATGCATATAGCCTATTGGTGGGAAAGCCAGAAGGAAAGAGACCCTTGGGAAGACCAAGACGTAGGTGGGTGGACGATATTAATGGATCTCTGAGAAACAGGGCATAACATTTCGGAAAGTGTATCATAATATTAAAACGGTAATGTCCAAACTCGTCATTCACTCATGGAACTGAGTCCTTCTTGAGAAGCCGCCAATTGTGAAGCTATTCAAGAACTTCAGAGCATTTTATGGAACCCGAAGGTTCATTACTTTGTTCACAAGAGCCACCCACCGGTCCCTATCCTGAGCCAGATCAATCCAATCCATACCATCCCATCCTATCTCTCTAAGATCCATTTTAAGTTCAAGTTTGTTTACTCTGTAATTAATTAACATAAATGTTATGTTGTTTCTGAAGCTGTTAAGGCTTTGTGATGCAGAATGTATGCATTGCGTGTGTACGTGCGCGGACGACGGCGTCTATAGACTTTATAATCTTTACCTTGCTTTCACTTGTAAATTATATTTACTCCTACAGGTCTTCTTCTTTAATTCCTTCAATTTTATTATCTATGGCTGCAATTCCTTCAACTTTGGGTGGCTTCGAGTCCGAATCCCAACCAGGAAATATAGCTCGCACTGAATGTTTCATACTGCTTTTCAGTACTTTAATACATATGTCAGGAAGGAATTTCACCTCTTTAAAGCATATCTGTTACTATATGTACCGGTTATCACGGTCTCTTCGCTTGCGGATTTCTTATTTTTCCTTCTACCCTGAAAATGGAGGCGATACGTTCCTCCGAAACTTCGGTTAACACCACATCTACACGGTGACACATCCCAGAGGGCTGCTTTCTTCTTTAAAGCATATTTGTTACTGTATGTACCATATGCTTTAACAAACTAAAGCTTTATGTTCCGCCCATAGTTCGCATCTTTCTGTTTCGTATGGTTCTGACGAAAACAACTATACTTCCTAGAACAGCATTAACCGGTTCATCTTTGTAGATGAGGCGTAACACGTTTTCAGTGAAGTACGAACCAAATTTTTATTTATACAGAAGAAGCCAAAAACATTTCAACTTCACGAATAATTTATTTGTTTATATGTATGTACGAGTATATGTGTTTACTTATGTTTACTCTTCTTACATGTCACAACATTTTTCGTTGTTCGTCCAACGCACGTACATGAAACAGAGTATAAGATAAATACGTATTTTTTAAATAAAGTAACAACGCAGAGTGGAACTAACATTAGCACTCATGCGTCTAAATGCCGGACTGCTGGCTGTAGGCCAAATTGCATCCGAATAATCCTGCGACTGACCAATTTGATCAAGGTTTTCCGTGATTTTCCTTAGGCCTAGAGCAAATGCGGAGTTGTTACCCAAATTTCACCTTGCGCTTCAACATTCCTATACAGCCCTCCCAATGTTAATATTGTAACCGATTTGATCAATGCGTTTTTGAGTAACAGCTCGGTAAGCAAATCGCAACAATAGAGGGAAAACTGTGTTTTATATGCGGACCGCGCCGAGGAAACGCACATTGCTAGGCAACGCACCAGTAAACTTGCATCCACATTTTTAGCGAGCCTTTTACAGTTCCCGTGTTACATATTCGTTGCCAGGAATCTGAGAGTGATGACTAATGGAAGCAGACTGAGAAGATTAGTGTGGAGTGATTGTAAATTACGTAAATCGGCAAGAAAGTAATAATTATTTGTAGTTACGACCTGTAGGTTGTTAATAAATCCAATTACTAATCCAAACAAGCGTCTCCATCACCCAAACAAGTAATTATATCAACATTTCACTCTAATGCAGCCATTCGAAATTTAATATCAAATTAATTCCGATCATATGCAGTGAAGCCCCTGCTCTGCTCTGCTCATAACAAAGTCCACATCCTAACACTTTACCTTTTTTTTTTTGTATTGCTAGTGGGGTGGGACTAAGTCCCTTGTACTGCGGCCACTTCTGGCCTATTGTACCAGCCCCAGATGATAGGTGAGGATGATTGTGGAGCAATTGGTGGGATGAAGATTGGCAGGGGAAACCGAAGTACTCGGAGAAAACATACCCCAGCGCCACTTTGTCCACCACAAATCCCACTTGATCAGACCCGGGATCGAACCCTGGCCGCCGCTTACACTGAGGTAAATGTAAGGTGAATCTATCCCTGTAACAGGCCGTGGAGGTCCACAGGGTTGTAAGCAGTCTAGGTTCCCACATTTTCTAGAAAATCGGCTCACAGATGGTGGTGAGGTTGTCAGTCTTATGCGTCGGCCGCCCTTTACCCCCAGGAATATCCTTGGTGTCATTTATGTTAGAGGCTGAGTCGACCCCAGGGTCACAGTGCGGCTGGAAGGATTGGGTCAAATGAAAAACCCAATGACCTCCTCGGGAATCAAACCCACGACCTTCCGGCTAGTAGTAGGGTGCCTCAACCAACTACTCCTGTCAAAGGGATGTAATAAAACAAATAATGTATAATACTATTGCCTGACTTGAAAGAAAAATGGCTTCCTCTGCGTAAGTTTAAGTTATACGAGGCACAACGGCCGGTCACAGGGATTTTCTATTCAGTCTAGTAAGATAATGTGTTTTCGTTTCAAAATTTGATTTACTAACACAAGTGAGATGGCATAATTTTGCAAATATTACTGTAAGATGAAGTTAAAACAAACGCTTGGATTTTTGTTACCAAATCATACCTATCTAAAAGCTACGTAAAATAATCTTCAAGGGTAATGAGTAGTTTTAAATATATCCAAAATAATACGAAGTAGTGTATTGAATAATAAGAATGATGATGTATAGAAACATTCTATCTATCAACAGAGTGCTGTGTAGGCCAATTACACAGCATGTAAAGTGCACTGTTTTTGGAAATTGTATCACATTAAGGGTGGAAGCGAAGCATCAGTTTGGTAACAATGGAGTAAATACATGGGGGTTTCTCTTTCTGCTAAACCAGACCAGTAAAATATATCTGATTTGAATGTCGGTTAGAACAAGTTTAGGTTCAATAATTAGTCCATATTTATATTTATGGTCAAGATCATACACCTAAATTATTGCGCACAAGTTCAAACATAATGTATCATACCTAGAGCCTTTATAGGTGTACAACAATATGAACAGGCAGCATTAGCATTAATTATAAACGACTTATTAGCACATATTAATATTATTGTTACAGCATCGTTCATGCATTACGAAATGTCACAAAGAAAAAGTATATGAGACAAATTCAGAAGTACGCGGCGCGGTTTTAATGATATTCGAAGGAATGTTTAATATCTAAATAAATTAACAACTAATGCTCATCACCTGTGTATGAATTCCGTTGTTCAATTTTCCGATAATCGAGATATTTCTATTATCGATTGCGTATGACATAATAATGCTTCAAAAAAACATATCATGGACAGCTCTTTCTCTTCTGGGTTATTAGCAAAAGTTACACTATTTGCTGTATTTTACCTGAATCCTGACGCGTCATCTCAAGCAGGCACGTTGGATCATCGAGTCACTATGGGCAGCTGACCGTCCACACCATACACGAACCACGATTCGAACTCTACTGACGGAACAAGCGACTCCGCCTAGCGATTGTGACGCTCTCAGGTGGAAAATCGAAACAACCAATTTATGACAATGGCTCAGAACGTAACATGCTTTGATTACCTAGGACGTGACAAACATATGACAGAAATATACACACATTTGTAAGATTTGAAGTTCTCGCGACAGTAAATATGAAGGAGAGGGAAGGTCATTTTCTACCAGACTAGACTATGTCACACTTCACAAGACAGTAATCTTCGTGAACACAAAACTAGTGATAAATAGGACAGTAAAAATATAATGGAATAAAATAAAATTATTTAATTTAACTTAATTCTCCGAATGCAGATTAGGAAATAAATTGAGAAATATATGTGTTCGCTTTGTTATTGCCTCTAGCATTTAAAATTAATTTAATTATCTCGAAACAATATTGTCGGAACGTAAAGCTGACCACTCACCTACCTCCATTCCACCACATGTCTTTATCACGTAGGTACCTTAAGCTCTGAGGCATATTTACGATGTATCTTTACAGCAGGACCTACAGAGAAGTCCTTCTGGGCATAAATTGTGTTCCATTTTACACTACCGACTTCTGTTCCGACAGACACTTAAGAAGTTCCGCGTGAGATTCAGTACAATGCAAGTCGGTCCTCGTGTAAAAAAAAGTAAAGCTATCCCTGTAACAGGCCGTGGAGGCCCATAGGGTTGTGAGACGTCGAGGGTCCCACATTATCTAGACAATCGGCTCACAGATGGCGGTGAGGTTGTCAGCCTTACGCGCCGACCGACCTCTAACCTCCAGGAAAATTCCTGGTTCTCATTTCTGTTACACACTGAGTCGACCCCAGGGCCATAGTGCGGCTGGAAGGTTTAGGTCAATTGAAAAAATACCAATGACCTCATCGGGACTCGGACCCGCGACCTTCCGGCTTGTAGCATAGTGCCTCAACCAACTATGCTAATTGCAGATTTTAAGCAAAACTGGAATACTGACATATGTCAGTAAAACTTACAAATATCAGATTTTATAAAAAAAATACATTCGGGGTTTGCGACTTTTGCTTGCATACAGAACGACATGGCAAAGATAACAGGCGTATATTTCGTTGCTGAAGCTTCAAAATGGGATATGGGGGAATGAGGACAAAACCCTAGAAAAAATAAAATAAAGTATATATCCTTTGTAACATGCCAGCACACTTTAATACATAAAAGGATTGTCTAAGTAAAATAAATAAGTAATTAATTAGGCAACGTTGGTAGTAGCATTATCACCACTGAATTACATAAGGACGATCATAGTGACCGCACGGTCTAAAATATGAACTGTCTTAGTTCGCTCGAAAGCCGGAATCGTGGGTTCGAATCCCACTCAAGGCATGGATGTCTGTGTGTGCGTTGATTTTGTGTTTGTGTTGTCCTGCGTGTAGGTAGCGGCCTTGCGTTGGGCTGATCACTTGTTCAAGGAGTCCTACAGTCCATGTAAAAAAAAGAGATTACAAAACTGAAGAAGGGCCAGTGCCTAACAAAGGGCTGTAGAGCCATAGATGAATGAATTACATGAGACCAATACATTTAGGTGAAAGCTTTGTTACAGTCATAAGGAATAAGAAACTTCGATAATCTTGCAGACTTTAAGTATTCAGAATTACTTGGGTTTCGGACTTTGTCCTTCGTCCAGTATTCTAAAAAATATAACACAGCATTTCAGAAACTGGATATGTTTCCATCCTCAGGTGAATGGGGAGACACCTACTCTGTTGGGTCCTTTAGAAAGATTGGGGTTGACTGCTTCTAAGGGACCCAATAGAGTAGGTGACCCTTCTCACCTGAGAATGAAAACAGATCCAGTTTCGGAAACGTGTTTTCTACTTTTTAGAATATCAAATGATATACAAAGACCAAAACCCAGTAATTCTTACCAGTTATCTTACCAGTAATTCTTAGTTAGATAATCTTCTCTTGTACTCAGAAAATCAATGTTAATTATTAAACATACAAGTTCTGGAGTGTATTCATAAAAAAGATTTCTGGGGTATTTTTCCCATTTGTTTAATTATCTTTATAACCATAAAACTTAGCCCTATGGAAAAAGTGCTTTCAACATAAAATTAAATTTAAACACGCGATTTTACATGGGAAATATATAATGCTAATGCGCAATTAGGTTTATGTACATTTTAGTAGAAATATTTTTAAAAGGTGAACACTGAGTAACCGTCTTAAATGTGTTCATATATGTTAATTATTTTAATTTATCAGGGAAATCTTCACACAATAAATTAGAAGCTGGCCACACTTGTGGGTTCTATTGTTTATGAAAATTGTGTGTTTCAAATTTTGAGCTTGGGGGAAGTCTAATTTCAACATATAATTGCCAAGTGAAATATCTGATGCCAGGATTCTCATGCATCCCTTCATCGTGCTGAATAACAGGAATACAAACTACTCTTTAGAGTTCTAGAAGTTTGTGATGGTGGTATATTGATATAATTATTGTGTTGCTGGACGTTGTCCACTGTCTTGTTTTTTTTTTTTAACGCACTTGGGTTCAAATGAGGAAGGAAACAGAATCCAGTCTCCAAAATATTGTGTGTTTTAAATAAGAATGGAATGATTGATAATGTCCAGAAACCCAGTAATTGTACTCTTAGAGTGTTGAAAATTTTAAGTGTTAAAATTATTAGGTGGCCGGTGTAACGTCAATTGAGAATTCAAAGGGAAGTCTCGAAATTCATATATCAGCTTTCGTACTGTTAACTTTCTCTGCTTTCCCCTGTATTCCTTTCCATTCCTAGGCATTATCAAAAAATACATCAAGGCCAAAATGTAATACTACCTCCTACAAGAAATACCCACAGTCAGTTGTAACTCACCTATTTATACAATAGTGTACACTTCACATATCCATATCAAAATATTATTAATACTCACAGAGTAGACACAACATACTGCAGCAAAAGACTGGCCTACCATTTGTGACCTATTATGCAATCTGCGATCATGAAACTTGTTATCACTCAAAAATTCACTCCTATGGTAACCCAAAATTGCATAATGACAATGATAAATCTCACAATTTTCATTAATCAGTCAATCATCCAATGCTATACAATATCGATACTGACATTGTCGTTATATAACCTACTAAAAAACTTTTTTATACATATACACATATAAGGATGCCCATGCATACTGTTCATGTTGCTTTTTTGGTTCAAGTCCATTTTATACTTTTAAATTCCTATCTTCTTGAAATTAATGATAACCTACTACCAAATCAGAAATTCTAATTCTACCCAATCAATAATCTTGAGAAATTTCATTAAATATCAGACACACACATACACACAGAGATAGAATGACAGATTACCCACATCTATATGTGGTGGATCTGTATATATTATGGATTACTACCCAGCACACATGCTATTTTAAGTAATAAAACAAGAATGAGTCCCAAGCTTAAATCATAAAGCCTCCTTTATTGTGGAACAGAATTCTAGTCTTATATATATACATATCATGTTACATTGTGCTCATAACATATGATCATCTGGCCCTGCAACAGACTACGNCAATCAAGAAGGCATTTAATTTTAAACCTAATTTACATATAGAGATATTGGGTTTTCGGACTTTATCCATCGTCCTGGTTTTAAGATAACTAAGAAAAACATGACGTTTCGGAAACTGGATCCATTTCCATCCTGAGGTGAGGGAAAACACCTATTCTGTTGGGTCCCTTAGAAAGAGCTAGCCTCAGTCACTGGACAATCCAGTTTCCGAAACGTTGTGTTTTTCTTAGTTATCTTAAAACCAGGACGATGGATAAAGTCCGAAAACCCAATATCTCTATATGTAAATTAGGTTTAAAATTAAATGCCTTCTTGATTGTTTAAATCTCCCTCCTTATCTCAAAATAGATCCTGGATGAAAGTAGCCTATTCAAGATTGGAAGGAAAGTGTTCATTGACATACATAAACAAAGACCCTCATCCACAGAGCGCATGCACAGGTGCGCATCCACAGAGCGCATGCACAGGTGCGAGACAACGGTCTGCATACTTTATTACTGCATTAATTCTNCATCCACAGAGCGCATGCACAGGTGCGCATCCACAGAGCGCATGCACAGGTGCGCATCCACAGAGCGCGTGCACAGGTGCGCATCCACAGAGCGCGTGCACAGGTGCGATACAACGGTCTGCATACTTTATTATTGCATTAATTTCTGTTTGAAAGATCACAATAATTGCAATTAATAACAAAAAATGTTTCCTGTGATTATGTAATTGGTGCTGAGAGATGAATATTGAAGGTGATCTGAGTTCAATCCTCTTTGCTCCCACACACTACAGAACAAATCTGTTGATGATGTTTCCTGTTTCACAATTGCTGATTGCTTTATGATTGCCTTCAACCATCTTGATATTAACGGGTATGCTTGAAAAACTGTAACAAGATATAAGTTTTTGTAACACAAAAGAGGTATCTTATTTTAACATAAACTGCAGCGGCAACAATTCTTGCATGTATTTGCAGTAAAGGAAATATAATAAGTAATTAGGATACAGTGAAATATGTTTCCTGTGATTATGTAATTGGTGCTGAGAGATGAAGATTGAAGGTGATCTGAGTTCAATCCTCTTTCCTTCCACATACTACAGAACAAATCTGTTGATGATGTTTCCTGTTTCACGATTGCTGATAATTGTTTTATGATTGCCTTCAACCATTTTCATATTGACCGTCTGCTTGAAAAACTGTAACAAGATATTAGTTTTTGTAACACAAAAGAGGTATCTTATATTAACATAAACCGTAGCAGTAACAATTCTTACATGTATTTGCAGTAAAGGTTATAATTAGAATGATCAAGTCAAGGAGGATGAGGTGGGCAGGTCATGTAACACGAATGAGGGAGACAAGGAATGTGTATAGGATATTGGTGGGAAAGCTAGAAGGAAAGAGACCACAGGGAAGACCAAGGCATAGGTGGGTGGACAATATTAGAATGGATCTTAGAGAGATAGGATGGGATGGTATGGATTGGATAGATCTGGTTCAGGATAGGGACCAGTGGAGGGCTCTTGTGAACACGGTAATGAACCTTTGGGTCCCATAAAATGCTGGAAAATTCCTGAGTAGCTGCAGAATTGGCAGCTCCTCCAGAAGGGCTTAGCTCCATGAGTAAGTAAGTAAATAAGTAAGTAAGTATTTGCAGTAAAGGAAACATAATAACTAATCAAGATACAGTGAAATATGTTCACAATAGATTCCATTCGAATTTGAGAATTTATTCAAAATAATATATGTGAGATTGTATTAAAAGTTACTGTTACATGTCTACCCAAGAGGAATATCACACATACTAAAAACTAATTCTGTCATTTTACTATATTTCTCGATCATTAGAGATGTGATCATAGAACATAAACAAAATGAAAATGTTACCTTAGTGAGGCCACAGTTGTCTTCACTTTCATCTGCAGGTCGTACTAAGGTCACTTCTCCAGACAGCAGAGTTCCTGGATGTTGAAACTGGAGTATAGATGATATATGGTCTGCCACAGCTGTAAGTGCAATTCCAAGATGCTTCTCTCTACTTTTCATCTTGCTTGGTAGTTCTAACAAAGCACGATTCAGTCGAGATGACCAGTCTGGTAGCTGCATCAGTTCCTCGTGCACCTGATATTGTAAAAATCATTCATTGACAGACACTTCATATACAATTTGGTTTTCAAAATCCAGAACACAAATGTTATCTAAAATTCAATTTGTGAATTTTTAATGGAACATTTAGTTTCCTGCTGCAAATTATGTAAAAGATGGTATATATAAATTTCTATGTTATTGGTCTTACTTTGTAATATGTATTATAATCTTCTTAAATTTTAGGCTACTATCAAAAGTTTTGTTCTGCAAAAGGGTTATCACTTAACTCAACAATAGAACATACAACATAATCTCATATACAGTATTAAATATTTCTGGTAACTCAGGCAAACCCCATGTAAAGAAGTATGGTAAATGTAAAATGTGCTGGTCACCATAGCTGAGTGGTCTAAGGCATGTACTGTCTTCACTCGCTCGGAAGCCGGGATCATACTAGGTTCAAATCTCACACAAGGCATGAATGTTTGGTGTATGTATGCGTTTATTCTGTGTTTGTGTTGTCCTGTGTTTAGGTAGAGGCCTTGCGACCAGCTGATCACCTGTCCAAGGAGTTCTACTGTCTGTAAAAATGATCATGAAACTGAGAAATCAGCCCTATGCTCCAAAAATGGGAGCAAGAGGAGAGAAAAAATGTAAACTGTAAAGTTGTCTCTGTGCTTAATTAGTTAAGCACCAATCCATGAAGACAAATTGGGGAAAAGAGGTATAGCTCCACCATTCTTGACCTCAGCACTAGATGGAAGTGAACCTGAAAATTTCAGGAAACAGAAACTGCACTTATACTCATATAAAGGGCCGCACAATAGCTCAAGCGGTTAGTCGCTGGCTTCCCACCGCAGTGGCCCGGGTTTGATCCCGTGCCTGGACAAATGGGATTTGTGTTGGACAAAGTGGTGCTGGGGCAGGTTTTCTCCGAGTACTTTGGTTTCCCCTGCCAATCTTCATTCAGCCAATTGCTCCACAATCACCCTCACCTATCATCTGGGGCTGGTACAATAGGCTAGAAGTGGCCACAGTACAAGGGACTTAGTCCCATCCCACTAGAATTAAAAAAAATTATATTAAAAGTATTATGGTGGGAAGAACTGACTTTGACTCAAATCCTAACATTTAACAGCAAAACAGACACGGCTCATAATAGATAAAATATATGGAAAAACATTGTGGTAGGATGTCCTTGTTGTTGTAATTGTTGTAGTTGTTTGTATTTCTCTGTAATTGTTGTAGTTGTTAATCATATTTGGTTTGTATTCACTGTGGTAGGATGTCCTTATTGTTGTGTTTTGTGTATTGTGTTTTGTTTGAACGTGTTGTCACTTAGTGTAATGTGTGTTACTTGTCTGTTGTGTCCTATTGTGTACGACTGCCACCGGGCTAAAACCCAATTGCAGTATAATAAATAATGCAATAATATTCAGGTCATTGTTTACCTTCATGCTGCTTATTTGCAACAGTCTACAGATGAGGTTTGCCTCTAATTCTGATCCCTGGTTGAGAAGGTCCACCATGCTGCGTATCATATCCAATGCTCCATCTAGCAGTACCACTCGAGTCTCCACTCCTTCTGTTTCCAATATCCTGGCCAATTCTAGTGTAAGGACACCACCCCATGACACACCCACCAAATTGTATGGGCCCTTCTTTTGAGCTTCTCGAATATGCTGAAAAATTACAATCAAAATATGTGACATGGACAGTACTAGTGGCAATGATTGGCACAATTCAAGATGCAGAGCCTAACAATCACAAAAGTTTTCTCATATTTAATCTTTATTTGGTCAGAAAGAATTATTTACTGGGGTATGTTAATTTCATGTCATGAGGATAAAAGCAAAAGACATAATAGAAAGATTACTAATAAACGTTTCAAAAGTATGAAAAAGTTCAAATCAAAATGTCATCACAAATATGGGATATAAAAGTCTGCTGAAAGTCAATTGATGTATTGGAGGAACATGTCTCCATCTTTTGGATTGATGAATAAGCCAAGCAAGAAACCAGAGTGAAGAAGGATCTGCTTACTTCCTTTTTAAAAGAAATCTGTCATTACTCCCAAAACTGTCATGTGGATTCTATTTATAGCACACTTCTAACACTGTCTATTGGATACATATAACTTACCTTAGCCAACAATCCAGCAGTCTCAGACAAAGAACTGCTGGTATGAGATAACCTGACACAGAATGTAGGGAACATTATCTGCCTTGCTAGTGGTTTCAGCACCTCAGATGGAGGACCCTGAAGTCCTGGAATGATGAACACTGAAGGGACTTCCTTGACAAAAGCCTTTCCAGGACTCAGTGATGTTAGCTCCTTTAAACAGCATGAGGAACACATTGCCAGGTCTTCCCCAAGTGCTGCCAGTTCCTCTATGGAGGCCGGCAAAAATGTATCTAGGGAGGGTGCTGTGTATGCTGTGTAGGTGGGGATACAGAAGTTCTCTTAAGAAACAGTCAAATTTAATGTTTCTATTCATTACAATATACCGTATTTACGCATGTATAGGCCGCGTGCGTGTATAGGCCNCCGCAGCACAATTTTCAGACAGAAATTATAGAAAAAATAATTTTCTTGGAATATTATTTCAGGAGTAGAACACCCTGTATTACTAATTATGAATATAATTTTTTTTAAATGAAGTGTGATTTCGAATATTTCGAATATAAGCCGCACCCCAGTTTTCCTCTTAAATTTTTGGCAAAAAATGTGCAGCCTATACATGAGTAAATAAAGTAATGGAAGAAATTTATAACTGAAGAGAGATGAAGTGACAGGGGTTGAACAAAACTGCATAATGAGGAGCTTCATAACTTGTACTCTTCTCCAAGTATAATTAGAATGATCAAGTCAAGAAGGATGATATGGGCAGGGCATGTAACATGAATGGTGGAAAAGAGGAATGCATATAGAATATTGGTGGGAAAGGCAGAAAGAAAGAGAGTGCTAGGAAGACCAAAATGTAGGTGAGTGAACAATATTAAAATTAATCTTAGAGAGATAGGATGGGATGGTATGGATTGGTTTGATTTGATTTGGGTCAGGATAGGTACCAGTGGAGGGCTCTTATGAACATGGTAATGAACTCAGAATTACTGGATTTTCGGGCTTTTTCAATCATCAGGTGTTATAAAACTACTTTCTAGAATACAGGAAGATAGGAAAAGTTTAAAAAACCCAGTAATTTTGAATGTTATACACCATCATCAGAACACTCTAGAACCTACAGTAATGAACATTCGGGTTCCATAAAATGTTGGGAAGTTCTTGAGTAGCTGCACAATTGATGGCTTCTCAAGAAGGGCTCAGCTCTGTGAGTGAGTGAGTTTAAAACTGATTGATTCCATAAAGAAAGTCCTTGTGAATGTGACAGTAGATCAGCTGTCCAAGAAATTTTTTTACTTTATTGAACTTAAACATTAAAACCATGTTCAGAAACGCGCATTATTGGATCCCATCCTTGAGCTAGCTGAGTCTAATCTACACTCTTCTGTAATTTTAACATTTGCATTATCTCCCTGTCTGTACCGAGAGCTCCCTGATGGCTTAGTTTTACCAACTACAATTCTGTACACTAATTTCACTTCCCCACGCTTTCTATAACTCTTGCCCATCTTTTCCTCCTTGATTAAATGATCTAAATAATATTATGCAAAGAGTACATATCACTGAACTCCTCATTATATCATTTTCACTATCGTCCTGACATTTCTTCTCTCTTAAATTCAAGTATTCTCCTCAGAATGTTCTAGAACATTCCTTAACCTTAATTCTTACATTAGGATGACAACAAAATATAAAATTGAAGTTGCACATCTTTAGTCCTTAACCTTTTATAAAGGAGAGTGAGAAACAGAAGATTATGGACTGAATTGTAGAAGAAATTATGAGATTTTAATATTCATAAACATACTTTCAATTTGTTGCTGTCACTCCTTTGTAGTCACACTTCGTTCACATTTTTAGAACATTCATTGGCTATCTTCATACTGTAATTTATCCTATACTTTGGTGATAAGAAATTAATTCTTACATATGTCCATGTTTATTTCTATACAAATCTTCATATTTCTGTCTAATAGAATTTTTCCACTCTTGTTTATGTTATTCATGTTTCCGTCTAATGAACTGACATAATTAGCACAGATCAAAAACTAATGTGTTTCACTGGTTTTCAGTACCTCATGGTTTCCTTGAATCTCCAGAATGGTATACAAAGGGGGACCCAAAAATAACCGGAAACAACCTGTTGCAGGCGCATGCTTTGTAGTTACGAGTTGTGCTGCTAGGTGGTGTTAGCTGGGGGTCTCCCGCGACTGTTAGTGAGCTGGCGTCAGTCTGAGT